CAATTTGTTTATCCCCCCAGAAGAAGGCCTGCCCCGACGATGGCTGAAGGCACTGCTATACCTCGAGATCGACGCCGGCCGTGGAGACGCAGAACTAGGAGACACAATACCAGTGTCCTGCACTGCAGGGAACGACTTACGAGCAGAAGCCGCCAAAGACGGGTGGGGACGAGGCCCGGATACTGAGCGAGGAGACGAGAGCGGAGGGTCAACAAGGGACGGTGATGCCGATAAGGGTGGGGCTTTGAATGGCTGGAAAGATATAGAAGGGCGTCTGACGACACCTGGGCTACCTTCACTAGCAAGCACAGCAGCGCGTCCCACGGGACTAGCTTTCGCAACCGCCAAGGCTTTCCGAGAGGACGAGCCAGGCGAGGACGGAGATGAAGTGCCTGACTCTCCTTTAGCCCGGAGAGCTGATATGGGACTCGCGCTGGTCGTAGGTCCAACCTGATGGAAGGTCGAAAGACTACCGTATGCCCGGCCAGGATCTGGATCTTCGACTGTTCTCCTCTCTTGTGGCAGTGACCCTATCTCAGGGGGAGGCACTTTACTATCCACCACTCGCGTAGGTAGCGACGGCCGGAAGATTTCATCATCGGCACCCATGAATCGAGAACTTAACAGAGCCTCGGAGTCATCCACGCGGAAATCGCAGCTTGTTCGATATGTCACTTGAGCGGAGAATGGACCAGCTGGCGAATCGGTGACACCAAAGCTGTAGGTTTCGACCACTTTGCTACTACTCTCGTATAAGGGCATGGTCAAGTGGTCTGGCTTCGAACTCGCATGGTTAGGAGACCCGACTATGATCCTGTACTTGATCCGTAGAGCTGGGTTTGCTCGAAGCCTTCCATTGCGCTTTGCGAACTTCCAAGCGGGCAAGAACTTAGAATAGGTGAATAATGATCGGAAAAGGACAATGCTTTTCTTGTATACAGTAGGCAGAATAGATCCAAGATCAGCCGGTAACGTGTTCGACGTATCCCCCAACTCAACCCTCCACCGCTCCAAGATAACATCATCGGAGCTGGCCGAGGGCGGTCTCACCGGATGGGCTTGTTGAGATGCAGCAAGGGCTTCTAACACATCCCATCGTTTCCCATTTTCATCCAAAGCCACAAGGGTTTGATTATTTGTGAGTCCCTTTGTATCGAGATATGTTTCAATAATTAAAGGCGGCGGGCGATTGTCGGTAGCATCACAGGTTCTCCAGGTGCGCAGCTGTTCTCGCAGCACATCTGTATCTTCGATCTCAACGTTAAACTAAGCCGTAAAGGTATTAGGTCAGCCCAAGCATTAGACATCGCAGATGAAAGACAAGTTTTGGTTATATCTGGGGTAGGGTATATTCTCAGGCGACAGGGATAAGACGTACCCAACGGTTTACTCTGGGGGTGTCAGAACCCTTGTTGAATGAAGGTGGGAGCTCAATGCGCGAATGCAGTATAATCAGAGCAGCTTTCGTGTGGTAATTCTGAAACATGACAGGAACAAATTAGCAGAGGTTCATCACCGAGCAATGAGGTCACCAGCCAGACGTTGATCCCATACCGATATTATCTGGTTCAGCTTCGTTACCGCCTCCTTTGCAGGTTGGACAGTTTGCCCTGGCGAACCAGGTTCGGCTTCAATCCCCAAGCCTCTGCTGTTATGTACCCTAACATCGGCTGCAGGGGAATTAGGACGATGATCCAGCTCTCTCGAACGAGATGAGTTCGGCCTGGCGGAAGAGGTTGGCGCTGTTGGCGCCGGCGACCGAGGATGTTGATGCATGATCCTTCTGCGACACAACGCAAGTGAGAACAGGATACTCAATGTAGTCCTTCCAAAGCCGAAATCGAATTCAGAGCTATGGCAGGGCGATTGTCTCGATCAAGAAGGTAATGGGGGGCGACTGATACGATGCGGACGGCCATGCTAACGAACTACACAGCCAGAGGTTCAGGGTTAGGAAAGACGCTAAGGGAATAAATTCCGGACAGTTTAGGCACGTTCCAAATCAAATTAACGGAGGCTGATTTCATCGCACTTTGTGCTCAGGCAACAGGATGCTGGCACACTTGAAGAGCATGCGGTCTAGACAACCTTGTGAGCTTCTCCGCACTGACGACAAGGCAGATCCGGGGGGTTGCACGGCGTCCTCACGTCGTGGGAGAATAAGGTAATTTAAGGATTCATAGTCACCAATACACTGGATTCGAAAGGTTTAGGAGGGAAAAATGGTAGGGGAAGAGGGAATTACAATAATGGTTTTTTTGGGGGAGGGATACGGAAGGAGAGATGAAACGGAGAGACAAGGTAAAAGGCGTGTAATGCGCTAACAGATATGTGAGGCACAGCAACAACGGCGGCGGCACGGGAGCAAAGAGGTCTGTGACGCACACCCGGTGACTCGGGTGGTTCATGAGCAATCCACCCCCAGGTCAAGTGCAAAGTAAAGCCCACGGTCAGGCTGACAAGTGCCACGGCATTCTTTACCAAAGACAATTCAACAATTATTCAGTTGTCGAGTGACTAGTTGCCAGTAAGGGATATTTTTAATTCCCAGTTTCTCTCGAAACTGCTTTTAGAGCAACTTACTTACGGGGGTCGTACAGTTGAAGGAGTGGTTAAGCATCAATCGCGGCCAATGACAATGGAAGTCGCTGGTAGGATAAACCAGGGCGTTAGAAGGCGGTCAAGCGATAGTCGCGGTTGCGTTGCAGCTACTACTGGAGGCGGTATCCTGTCGGTATGATTGCCCCAACTGGACCGTATGAAAACAGTCAGGTGGATACTGATTTTCATGAAATCATCCTTCTATCTTCTATCGACCTAACAATGATGTCCTGACAACTGGCAGTAGGATACAAGGTATCAATATGACTCGGTGTGTTATTGCTACCTAACGAACCAAACAGACGTACGTGTCTCGCTCTTACATTAACCCTTAATCGATAATGATACCTTATGAGTAATAAATACGAAAACCACAAGTCGTAAGTGTAGGAGGTTCGTCAATTCAACCTTGAATTACGATACATGACTCAATATTGAGGCGGCAGTCCAATGGAAAGTATGATGAGAGCTCCAGAAATTGCCGCTTGCGCAGGTCGATCAATCAACTTAATCAACAACCACCCCCGTGATAATGGACCCTCATTGATAGTAGGGTTGCTTTCTGTGCGGATTTCGTGTTCTTTCCCCCTGTCTTGTTCACTTCCTTTTTTTCATTCTAATTTTGACTTATTCGATTTGTTAGGTTCTTATCTCTGGCTTTTTAATTTATTTGTTTATTTCTTTTTCCGTCCTCAGCTCTTTGTTTTCGGTCACTTTACTTTTGCTTTTGCTTTTTCCCTTCTCCTCTCTCTCTCTTTTTGACTTTTACTTTCACAGGATTAAGGTGTAGAACGTTCAAGTAGGAGGATTTAATTCATGATCGACTTTTCCACTCTCTATCGTGTCTGTGTCATGTACCAATAATGGAACGGTCGACGAAAACAGAGCATAGACCACCACCCCCCAGCTTCTGGGAATGGTCGCCTCACCTGCAACAGCTTCATGGGCGGTGGGGAAGGAAATTTACAGAGGAATCACTCAGCCTATAGCCGACCGAAGCACAGACTTGATGTTGTGTTACTTGGTTGCTCATTCTGAAAGCTTAGTGGTAGAAATTAGTCTGGCTTACAATGTGCGACAAGCTCCATGCACCGGAACTGCAAGGCCTGCAGCGAAGCATACTATCTTAAGCGACCTTGCAGGGGACCTCTTGTCTTGATGGCGTCTCTAATACGGAGTACTCTAGTCTAGGCTCTGCTCCGCAGGTATTATTCCTGATCGCGTTGGAACAAAAGTTGGCCAGTCGATTCCTTCCGACAATGCAGAAAGACTTGGACATTGTTGTTTGGCGCCAGCTGGTGATAGGAATGCAGATGTATGCCTATAAACAGTGCTATTATACATCATGGTATGGACACTGTTCAGTACCAAATAGACCATCGTATCTTTGTCGGGTGCGTGCACGCTCTTTGGGGTTATCCCCTCGTTGGATCTATCCTCCTTGTTCAATAGTTTCTTTTATTAAATTTTCTTTTTCTTTTTTCATTTTGCCATCTGTATTCCGTCTCTTACACGAAATCCTTTCTTTCTCCATATAATTTTTAAGCTATATAGGAATTCCTAATCCAGTTTATCATTCGATAATACCCACCATAAAAAACTAACTTGCTCTCCATAGTGACAGATCCTTGGGCATTATATTAACCATTCGTATAGCTCGATATAGATTGTACCTGGAATAGAAACATCCTACCCCGATTATAGGCCCGTCCTATCTGCTAAAAAAGCCCCCTTTGGCCAATCATTAATATAGACGGAAGGTCTAAATGAGACCCTTCACATAGGCCACTGCCAAGGGAATCGCTATGCACAATGGGGAGTATTCCACCCACACCGTCGTACAGTCTAGACCAAATATGAGTAGGGTCTTCGCCTATGGCTAATTTCTTCTTCTTTTCCTTTCCCGTTCGATCTCTTTGTCCCCAGAAGGCGATATTTTTGCCGCCCACATGTTACTTAGAGGAAGTAATTGGGCGAATGAGGCGGCTCTGAGTCTTCTGAGTCTGAGATAAATTGGTGAAGTGATGAGACAACCTCATCTGCAGAGCTATGGTACCCACATAGGCACCTGGAATTGGACTGGGTCTGATATAGTCATGATCTTTTATCCACATGTACATACAGCATATTGAGAGTAGTGTGACTGGGGCTAGTGGCTGATATCCAAACAAGTGGCGCAGTATTTCAGAGCAAAGATACACATATGTTTGTTCGATGCCATTAACAGAATGAATGTCGCGTTCATAGCGTGGTAACCTTATGAGTGGGATTGGATATGAGAATTATAGAACTACTCAATATGTGCAATCATAGCAGAGCGCTTCGCGTTCAGCTATTATGTTATTGTTTAGCTACTTACATAGCTTCCCTGGTTTCTTTTAACCTTCAAATAAGAGTAGCGGAGTGTAGTCCAGCGGTAGGATATGTGACTCTTCTCACAAGGCCAGGGTTCGCATCCTTGCACTCCCATTCATTTTTATTTTTGGATTTTATATACATTTTTCCTTGTATTTTTGCATTGAGCCCTACTTGGATGGTTCATTTTTAGGCAGATCTTTTCTTCCATAATTGCTCGAGTCACACAGGCATCACTGATTGTCCGGCTATTCCACTGTTGATGGTGAACATAGATCCGGCGATCGATTTTGGCCGCCCGACGAAGTAGTATCCTGTGTATCAGTATACAGAGGTGCACTGGGCTGTTTACCTACTAGGTATCCTGTGGTGGATACCCAGATGGTTTTAGACCCCATTGTTTCAGACATTAGGAAGACTGTACAGATTCCAGCATGGATTTAGGGTTACATTTGAAACCCGAAGCTTAATTCCATAGCTCCCATCATCAAGACCATTTGGGCCCGGAAACGAAGGAAGGCATGGATGTAGTCGGGTGAGGGGTTTCATAGTTCAAGTTGGAAGCACGGTCGTCCGTCAACCTCTCGTCGGCGCGCATGGAGGGGTGCGCGCCGCCCGATTGGACGCTGTCCGATTATCCCTCCAATCCATGGGTCAGTCATCCTTCAAATCCCGTGACAGCACTATCAGACTCAAAGAAGAGCAAAATCCCTCTAGGAATATACCCACGGGAATCGCTTCCATCGCTGCTCGAATTCACTCCTCTGCATCGATCTTGCTGTCGCATCCCGTTGGCGAATCGAACCGATCGCGCTGAAAGTTCCTTTCCCCTCACGTCCGAGGCTCGGAGATAATACAGAGCTGTCATCGCCACCGCATATCGTTCATTTTACGACGCGCTCTAATACTCCTTCGCATCGTCTCCTCTCCCTTCGATACGGCTATCGTGTTGGTGTATATCAGCCTCCGACTACAATCCGAGATTACAACTACGCGTTGACGACTGTCGACTCCTTCTCTTCCTCCTGTCAGAATACTCTTGTCGTCCCGCGGAGCTCTTCCGGTGCGCCGTGAACCCTCTGTGGTGAACACGACGTTCTGGTCCTCGGCTGATAAGAGATTCTGACACATTACAACTTGGGGCACATGAGTAGCAAGCTTTGGGAGTTATTTTTGCGCGATGACGTTGATAGCTTCCGGCGGGTTCTGGCAACTGCCAGCTATACCTCCGGTAGCCAGCGGGCTTCAGGACCTAGCGGATCGTCTAATTTCAAGATCGGAAGCCCTGGGGGTACGATAGCCTCCACTGGTCTCTCTCTCAAAAGCAAAAAATTGAGCGGAACGTCGCCAGGTAGTCCGGTCCCGGATCGAAGCAATACACCTCGGAGTGGAAGGCCATTATCTCGGGAGGAATTGAATGCTCGTGATCAACTCGGTAGAACACTACTCCACCTTGTGGCTTCGTCGACAAAACCTACTGCGACCGACTTTGCTGTGGCTTTACTCGAGGTGCCTTTCATTGACATATATGCACAAGATTGGGAGAGTGGGTGGACAGCGCTGCACCGGGCTTTGTATGCGGGCAATGCCGCTATTGCCCAAGCGTTACTAACTCGCGATGTGCGTGATGCAACGGACTTTAGTAAATCGGGAAATATAAACAACGCGAGTGGCACCTTGATAAAAATTAAAGACCGAGAAGGGTACAGCCCCTTTGATGTATATGGAGCTACAATTGCATCTCGTGACATCAAGAGTATTGTCTCTCTGACAGGGAATGGTCTAAGGCTCGCCGATCTTGACAATGCGGACACTGCCTCCATTGCATCCTCAGAGCCTGACGATTTCGACGAAGATGGTCATTTTGCAAAGCGAGCGCTAAAACCGAGAACAAATGTACTAGGTGACGAAGTATTTACGTTTGGGAGCAATAAGAACCTGAATCTTGGTGTAGGGGACCAGGATGACCGCCAGTATCCCGAGAGAATAACTTTCCAACGTCCAGATCACCTTCTGCAGCGGTTCTTTTCCGAATTCCGAGAGCAGCAGTTGGATGAAGGGAGTTCAAATCTCCAACAATTGCGCGGAGTCACGGATTTGCCAGCATTGATCAAGAACAGACCTATCAAAATTCAGAACGTTGCCATGTCCAAGCTGCATACAGCCATTCTCACTAACGATCCAGAGTCGAACCTGTTCATGTGCGGCTTCGGCCCCGGAGGGCGCTTAGGTACCGGCGATGAGTCAACACGGTTCAGCTTTGTCTGCGTTGAGACCGGAGGGTTGGCCAGCAAGAGGGTTATTTCTGTTGCCCTTGGCCAGGATCACACTCTCGCAATTACAGAGAACGGCGAGATATTCAGCTGGGGAAGTAACAAGTTTGGTCAATTAGGTTATGGTCTTCCAAGAACCAACAACCGAGACGATGTGCCAATGCAGAAGACTCCACGACAGATATTCAACCCGTTCAAAAAGGAGACCATTCTTGGAGCTGCAGCATCTGCGATACATTCAGTTGTTTTCAGCAACTTTGGTCTTTATACTTTTGGTAAGAATGAAGGTCAGCTTGGACTTGTCGACTCGGATGCCCGATCTCTTGAAACTCAGACGACCCCTCGGCGTGTCGGAGCATCTCTTTTTAGTGCTCCAATCCAGAGCGTGTCCGCTATTGACCAAGCCACGGCCATTCTCCTCCAGAACCATGAGGTTTGGGTATTTTCACAGTATGGCTACTCGAGACTGTCTTTCCCATTAGATATCAGCTCGAGTTTCATTAGGAACAGCTTCATGTCTACCCGGTACGACACTTCCATCAATTGTATCACTAAAGTAACGTCCGGTGGAAATACCATATGTGCGTTGTCCAGTTCTGGTGAAGTCTTCACAGTACAAGTCAACAGGACGGAGAACCCACCGAGTTCGACTTCTACTACAAACCCAGCTAAAATACGGAACTCTTTATCTACACCGGCTCGAGTGTGGTCTGTGAAGAAGGCGCACATGGCTGTCAGAGACGTTGATGTTGGACAAGATGGCTCGATCATCATTTGCACGGCTTCTGGATCGGCCTGGAGGAAAGAAAAGCGGGGGAAAGCGAAGGATAGTTTATCGAAAGACCACAAGTTTGTCCGCGTCCCTGGACTTTCTCGAGTTGTGAGCGTATGTAGCAATGCATTTGGAGCTTTCGCAACCGTGCAACGGAACTGTGATGTTACCAGGGAGCAAATTAACATCGACCAAAGCACACTGTGGAAAGATATGTTCCCACTCTCACCTTTCAACTCTGTATTAGGCTCTGTTGCCACTGATCAAGACAGTGTGTTGGACTCAGAGCCTGTCATCAATATCAAGAAGGCCATTATGTCAGAGTCAGATGTCGAGTCCTATTTCCGACCGCTACAGACCGGGCGCTTCCCCGGAACAGTATGGGTCATGACCACAACCTCTGACATACGTATACCTGTGCACGAGTTCATCCTGACAGGGCGCAGCCCGGTTTTGAGAAAGGCATTCCATGATCTACGGCATGCACAATCCTTCTCCATTCCTGACGTGCTTACGATCAACTACGACGGAGAAGGATATGCACAGCTTCAACTCCAAGGCGTTGACTTCTTAACTCTTCTGAACCTCGCTTTCTACTCTTACACAGACAATATTTTCGAAGTGTGGCAGCTAGCCAAACATACACCGGAAAATGCATCTAGATATCGTCAGGTCCGCTCTGAAGTGATGCGTGTTGCCACCAGCCTGGGCCTTACTAGTTTGGAGAGATCTGCCAGGTTAATGATTGAGCCTACAATGGCTCTGAAGTCAGATATGGAACGTGCGATTAATGATATCACGTTCTTTGACAGTGGTGATGTGATCGTTGAGTTGAAAAACGGCACTATGAGGGTTCACAGCCAAGTTATTTGCCAAAGATGTCCTTTTTTCGACGCCTTGTTCCGTGGCCGTTCAGGTGGCAGGTGGCTTTCCTCCCGCCGTATAGATCCAACTGACGATATATACGTGGATCTAAAGCATATTGATCGGCATGTCTTTGAGTTTGTGCTTCGGTATATGTATGCAGATACGGAGGAGCAACTTTTCGACCAAGTTCGAACGAATGACCTGGAGGAATTCATTGACCTAGTGCTTGATGTTGCATTCGTGGCGAATGAGCTGATGATTGACCGATTGGGTCAAATCTGTCAGAAGATGCTTGGCAGGTTCGGTATGTTGAGTTCCAGCCCCTTCTAATCTGTGTACTGGTCGAATTGCTAACGAAAGCTAGTAACCACACGTAATGTGTGTCATCTCCTCAACGCCACTGCGCCTTGCTGTGTGACGGAATTCAAAGATGCTGCATTGGAGTATATTTGCTTGAATTTGGAAGATCTACTCTCTAATAGGTAGGAATGGAGACCTCACTGAAGTATTCCTGGCTACTGACATTGTCCTAGATATTTGGAGGATCTCGATGAATTCTTGCTGGGTGCGCTTGATTCTGTTTGTCACGAGAACCAGCTTTCGAGCTTCCCGGTGTCACGAGGGCGCAACTCCGAAGAATATGTCTTTGAAAAGTACCCTGAGCTTGTATCCTTGGTAGAAAGAGACCGGCGGAGGAAGATTGATTCCATGAGACTTCGGTCACATGTCAGCCAGATTGAGACGAACGAAGGAAAGCTTCGAGCAACACTCACGCCTTCAGCACCTTCGGGACAGAAAGCGCACCAGACTCCTACTAAGGGGGTCTCAGCTGCCACGTCACGTAGCCCATCATTGAGGCCCCAGCACTCAATCGGCGACCTGATGTTCCAAATGGATGACGAGAATTTGCTCACACCGGGAGACTATATTAAAGGAAAGATGGCAGTCCGTGGGGTCAAACCAAATGATGCCAATGACTCGCGCTCATACCCTGACTCACCGGCTCTGGGGTCTAGTCTAACAGAGGGAGGATCATTGGAAGGCCGAAGCTACCTGGATGATCAAATGGCATCCCCACAAGATGCTATACTTGCAGCGTCTCCAACTGAACTACGAGCTAGTGCGCTGAACGGGAAAAAGAACGGTTCTCTTACTCCACCAGACGTCTCTCAACAGCCGTGGAGTGCATCAGTGGTTTCAGG